TCGTACACAACATTTTTAGGAAACTTATATCTTTCAGTTTGAAAATAACACTTTATATTTTTACAAAAGACAACGGTTTCATAAAACCAATTGGCCGGGATCGTTAAGTGACCACTACGGTTGCTCAGCGTGTCTCGGTTCGATTCCAGAAGAGGCCAAAAATTCCAAAAAATCGAATGTATAGTTTTTCATAATTATCAAATATTAGTTCAAAATATTAAATTCAGGTGTCGCATTTCGACCTTGACACTTAGAATATTTCTGAAAAACAAAAAACTCAAGTTTCGTACTTGACTGTAAGAGAGATACATGAAGAGACAAAAAAAAGAAAAAAAAAAAAAGAGGAAGCACTGGGGAAAGAGAGGGGTAGAGGCAGATGATGAATAAGAGAGATGTGTATGATACATATTCTTTATTCAAATTCAATATTAATACAATATAGGAATAAAAATAACTTTTATCATCAATAACTCAAATAGCCGAGTGGTTTAAGGGACCGCATACTCGGTGAAATAACTCTGGAGGCACAAGGTGAAGTGGATCGAATCCGGCTGAAGGCAACGACAAGGAACTCTGATGCAGAAAAAATGGAGCAGTGCTGGTGAACGGCTGTTGGCGAGCGCAAAGGGTCCTGAAACGAACACACCAAGTGATGGTCAACCTGAGGTCCATGATGCGAGAGGTTACACGCAGAGAGACGACACATTGCGGAAGATGCATGCCGAACCCAGAAATCTGCCCAAAAACCACAACATGCGAAAAAAACAACACCAAAAAAGGAAAAAAAATGTGAAAAAAAGCGAAAAAAAAGGAAAAAAAAGGGGAAAAAGGAGGAGGAGGAGGAAGGGGAGAGGTGGAGAGCCTAAAAAAAAAACCCCTTAAGTCCCAGATCAATTTTTCTCTTTTCTGTTCAGCGTTGAAACTTTTTTATGTTTTTTAGTGTTCCCTCACACCAATTCCCAAAACCAACACTCGAATTAAATCAAGTCCACGTTGAAATTTTCACAACGAGAAAAAATTACTGGGACTTAGTTAAAATATTTAACTTTGCCCCAATAAAATTTTCTCGTTGTGAAATATTCAATGTGAGCCTCATTCATTCGAATGTTGGCTTTGGGATAATACAGCATGCAGAAATAACTCATCTGTCTTAATTGAAAAGGTTTCAGAAAATTTGGACTTAGAAAAAAAAATTATCTGAAAGGACTTAGAAAAAAAAAAAAAATATTCGAGAGAATTATTTAATTAATCAATGAAACGAAATGATAATAATCGAATCAAAATTGTTTATACGACTTGATAAAACATGTGAAACCTTTACAATTAATTAATCGAGACAAAAACAAATTTAGTTGACTTGAAAAATATACAAATTATTAGAAAAAGCCATAAAAGAAATTCAATAAAACTTGTAAAATGAAATAATGAAAAATGTTCGAAAACTTGAACATTAAAAACTTCAAAACTGTTCAAAGCTGTTTGTTATCCTTTAGAAATTGAGTTAAATAATTTTTACAACTTGAATCGAATAATAAACTTGTTAACAAAATTATATTTTGTCTAATCATTCAAGTCAACTCGTTGAAACTTTGATTGCAAGTCTTGATCAAAATTGTTTTTAGCAACAAAAGAATAAAAAAATATTATTTAGCTATGCAGCGATATGATTGAATAAATTTAGAATAAAACTACAGTCAAAGACTTTTAAAAGCTGCATTTAATTAACGATTTGGTAAGTTGTATTGAATATTGGAAATAATTTGATCAAAACGAACAATCGTGTTATCCATAAATAAGAATGTACATGCAGTCAATATCGTCACAGGGAAAACACATGATTCTTGATACTGGAAATGTAATTTTAAACATTGCTTCCGAAGAATAATGAACAAGAGGTGTCACAAAAAAAAAAGATTTTTGTAACAAAGGAAATTTGTAATTTGTAATAAAATACCATCAATTTAGGAGTTACCTAAGGAAGGATGCTAGGGCCCCTTCAACAAATAAGTAGTCGATGCAAACAAAAACTGTATTTGTTAACTAATAATTTGGTAACAAAAATTTAATATATAAGAATTTTGAATTCTACAAAATCAGCTCATATTGTTGTTATAGAACAAAAGAATTTCTGATAGACTCTTTATGGAATTGTAATAATATAAATTACTTTCAATGACTTTGATTCATAAGAGAAATATAAACCTTTTTCTTTTATATATATATATATTTAAAACAAGTATAAAATGCACTTTTAAAAATTAAAAAAAAAACTGAATCAACATGTTTTCCCCATAACAAATTAAATATGAACATAGTCTTTTACACATATGCCTGCTAAATTTATTTAAAATCTTTTATTAGCATAATAGTTGTAGTTGAATGAACAAAGAATGTATTGTATTTTAGGCATTAAAAATTAATAAAGTATATCTTACTAAAGAAAATGATATTGACTCAAATATTATAATATAAACAATATTTTCAGCAGATATATGTATACAACTATATTAATAATGCGCGAACCAGAAAATATTCCACTAAAATATATACAGGCTGCTTTATAAATAATATCGGATAAGAAAGGGACAAGTTCTTAAAGCATCTTCGAATTAATTTCAATTAATATGAAAAACAAGCATAAAATATATTATTATTGAGTAATATTATTATTGCATGCATAAAAAGTAGCATGTAATCCGAACTCGGTCATTAATTGTAAACCTCTTTTAGAAAATAAATTATGAGCAATATCTTTCTATTTATTTCTATTAAAATTATAGTTTTTATTATGAAAACATACGTTTTGGGTCTTGATTTTACCCATCTTCAGTGCTACAATTAAATATTTCAGGGTTACAATTTAAAACAATATAAAAAATACATAATTACAGGAAAATATAAATAAAAACATGTAAAAATGCATAAATCTAACCAATTTAATAAATTAAAAAATTAAAAACATTTTCTTTCAATAAAACTGTTTTTAATTACTGGATGGATGCCCAAGAACAATTTTATCATATTATTTCACCATCTGAAGAAAAACCTCTCGCTTTATATATATATATATATATATATATATATATATATATATATATATATGTGTACACACATAAGAATTAAATATTGAATATTTAAAATAAAGCATATTAGATGGAGTATGATAAATGCCTGTATATATCAGAAATATATTCTTTGACTCGCTTTGTATAAAACATGCTTTGCACTTACATTGTTAGAAATCCTCTGCAGCAGCTCCCAGAACACCAATTCATTACTCGAACCACCTCTGAAGCATCTGCCAGAAATCTCAAGTACTCGACACAAAATCACTACTTTAGAACCACTACATAACTTTAGTCTTTTACAAGTCTATTCGACCTGTTGCAATTGTCCGAGTAAAGTATTTACACAATACACGACACACGACTTACTTAGAGACTTTCGTGAATTTAGAATTCGATAATAAAGAGATATGTGTTGGAAGTACTCAAATATAAATTATACATTTTACAATTGCATATATATAAATAAAGGATACATTGGCGCTGTAAATGAATTAATAACCTACAAAAGCACATATATAAACTATACATTTCACAATTGCATATATAAAAATAAAGGATACGAAAGGCGCTGTAAATAAAATGTTTACTTATAAAATTGATTCAAAATGGAGACCCTGAAAGAGATACTTATAAAACTATTCAAGGTACATTTAGGCACTTCCAAACATATCCATTTTTTGGCTTTTAATTAACGTTTTACGGTACATTTATTATATCAAAATGATCTGCTAAATTAATTACACGTTTTGATGCATAAATTAATTAAAACTAATCAAGGATTTAATTAAAAACCATAATTAACGCGACGGCGTCTTAATTCACGGAAATTTCTTTGACAATTGAAGTTGTCAACATGTGTCAGAATGACTGTCACCTCTTGTGCAATTTAAAGCGCGAAATTCAAATTTAAAATTTAAACTTTATAAAATTTACCTATTTGAATATCTACGGTAAAAAGCAAAGTGTATACACTTTGAATATGTGATAATTTTACTTATTCACTAACAGAAAACTACACTATAAACAGAACAATCTATGGCCCAAAATTTGTTCACTGTCCAATTATTATTATAATGTTAAATATTTATTTTACACTGATCATGAAATTTAAAATTTTAAATTTTAAAATGCATCAATAAGTTGCCATGAAATCTAGAAATGCCTGCACAGGGTAAGATTTTTGTAGAAAAAAATTGATAATTTTAAAGTATACCGAGTTGCTGTAGAGTGAAAAAGTAAAATATTCGTTTCTAAAACAAACAGTTGAAAGTTTTAACATAACACATATTAAAATTTAGCACAATTATAATTTCTCTTGGTTATTAAACGAATTTTCATTATTATTACCATAAACAGCACAATTGCCAAATATCTTATAAATTCAAACAAAATTTGCAATTTTTACAATTCAAAAACAAATTCAAAAAAACCGCCAACAAATTTTAGTTCGATTTTATCCCACCTGTTGTCTCCACCGTCTATTTTACCTTTGCACAATACATATACAAATGGCGTCTTGTCATTTCAAACGCTCTTTCAAAATACGTGTTGTTTTTGTATTTTAAACAATAATTAAGACTGTATTATCAATTAAAAGTGTTCACAAATACTCCAAAATGGTTAATAAATATAAAAATAAATAGAAACGTTCGTGGTTTTGTTTTGAGTGTTGTAATAAAGTTCTTGGAAATGATAATCGATGGTGATGAAAAAAATAATATTGATGACGAATTGGATAAATGAATCATGATAGAAAAAACTTTATGAGTAAGATTGATATATAGAGATAAATACATAAAAGTTAAAGTTTTCTAAACAATGGTAATAACGTTGAAGTAAATTTGTGACTGAAGTCATTTGTCATGACTTTTTTTTACACTGTGATTATAAAATGTCAATTTAATACACATGTATGTCATTTATAACCTTAATTTGAAGCACAGTACGTTAAAATAAGTTTTATACTATCTAACTAACGTTATAAAATGGTTTCACACATAATTAACTATATATAAAAAAATGACCTAACCTTACTTACACCTTGTACTTCAATTTAACACATTTTACAAAAATGGGTAGCAGTTACAATGGAGATTGTTCCTCCAATGGAAGTTACCCCCCCAACGACCCAAGTTACATCTACAAAATGCAACAACTAAGTCTATCGCAAAACTCCAACCCCAGAATATACGAAGTGCACAGCCCCATGAACTCCGTACCAGGTTCTCCTACAAGATACGCTCACAATCCTAAAATATACAACAAATTCAAAGACGGTAACAAGTATTACAGTGCCCCAAGTCCGACACAAAGTTTAAGTGGATCCTCCCAACACAGTGGAAGCCCCCGGACAAGCCTGAGTTACGACAACAAAAACTCACCCTTGTACGAGAACTTGGAGTACTATGGTGCTAATGCACGTCCTGGTTATTATTATGCTGATTCCAGAGTATCAAGTCCTCGTGCAAGTCTTGCAGGTTCTGACAACGGTGTTGTGTATGAATCAAGTCACCGTAAAGCTCAACCGCAGGTTCCTAGATA